TGGTAGGTGCATGTGTGCACATTTGTGTGTATTAACATGCCTGTTTTGTGTGCATGTACGTGAGTACATGGATGATTCGTGTATTGCATTGTTGTGTGTACAAACCTGTGTGTGTCAAAGCTCTCATCTCAGCCTTGCCAATCAGTCAGCCTTGCTGAACTGTGTATTTTCAGCAAACACTGACCTTGTGGGCCCCACTTTCTTACCTGTTGAATTAACGTGTCTGGTTTAGTGCGCACACACACACACACACCCGCATCATCATGGAATTTGCATGCAGGAGACTCCGAGGCTACCTGGTACCCCCACAGCCAGCCAGCTCCGATGGGCTCTAGGAGGGGGTGAGGTTCCTCTTTCCTGGACCAGCCATTTCAGACTTCTGGTTCTGGTCTATGAGGCTGAAGGGATTGGACACAGGCTCTGTCCAGAGGGAAATCTTTGGGGATCAAGGAAGGTCTCTCAGGCTAGGCGTGGCTTGCAGCTGAGCTTGGCTTGACCCTGATATCACATAGTCCGGATCATTCAGCACCGCAGAGCCCTGCAGAACCGCATCCTTGGAGACTCACCTGGACCTGCCAGCACCCTTCTGGGCCCCCCTAGTGTGATCCCTAGCACCACACGGCCCACACTACCCAAAGCCTCGGGTCATTCTGTTGACCTGTCTGGGCTGGTTGAGCTGGGAGTGTCCCCCCAACCCTGCTGGGGCCCCCCATAAAGAAAAGCGCCCCTGTGGCCACTGCAGACACGGGGGCTGCTCCCAGCCAGCCTGAGCGCGGGGCTCGCTCACACATACCTTGGCGGATGTGTGCAGGGTGTGACGGGAGTGACGTCGGAGACTCTCGGTGGGACGGGGAGCTGGACGCCAACCACATTCTAACCGTCAGCGTTTTCCAACCGCGCTTGACGCCTCCGACTCGGCGCTGCCTTCCAAGGCGCTGTTTACTCGGCTGTCACAAATTGCCAATGGGACTGCAACTGTCTGTCACTTCCAGAGCAATTAGTGTGTGGAAACTTATCAAAAGAAATCTGTCAAGTTTGGATAAGCGTAAATATTCCTGGGAAGTCCCTGGGGGAGGGAGGGGAGAGGGAGGCTGATTCCGGGGGTGCCTGAGAACTCGCTGGTAGCAGCCCATGTACCCACTGAATCCTTGCCGCGCTCTCATAAAAATAGACTTTGGTTCGCGGGGGGATGTGGAGGTGTCTTGTCTGTTGCCCGAAAAAGTGTGACCGGGGCTGCATCTGCGGGGGTGTGGCACGCCTGCTTCCCAGGGAAGGGGTGCTGGGCCCTGGCACCTGCCACTCTGGGCCAGCCGCCGGGCACCTTTGCCGTGTTTGCCCACACAAGTGTTTGTGGTTCCTTCCTTCCCGCTCCTTATCACCCAGAAAAATGAAAGTGTGGTGTCCTGACTGGTACTGCTACGGGCCAACACCAGCGGCGTCTCTATAAAAGATGCCCTGACTGGGGGCGTGGGCAGGAGCGGGCAGCTCCGAGGCCAGAGCTCAGAGCTCTGAGTGCTGGGCTCGCTCACACATACCTTGGCGGGTGTGTGCAGGGCGTGATGGGAGTGACGTCAGAGATTCTCGGTGGGACGGGGAGTACCGTAGAACTTCCGGCTCCCTTTGCTCTTCAGGACCCACCATGCACGAGGAGGGAGGGCTCACCCCGCGCTCCCTGCCCGCCGCTGCCAGCAGCTCTGCCTTGCTCCCTCCCTGGCTCCAGGGCGAGCTTGGGATTTCTGTTCCCAAGCGCTTTGCAACCTGAACCAACATTTTCTGTTGTTTTCGAGGGGCAGTTCACACTCTCAGTGGGGCTTCCTGCAGGGTGAGGTGAAGTCATTCTGCTAACTGGGTCCATGGCCGAGTCGTGGGTGTGAGAAAAGGCATGTGTGGGATGGCAGATGCGTGGATGGAGCTCCCGGCACCTCTGCCTGTGCTCGGGTGTTTGGAGCAGACAGACAGACAGACCTTGGGGGCCTCCCCTCTGATAAGCCCCTCGGGGCTCTGTGAGCAGGTGAGGGGGCTGTGAACTACACTTCGGGGCAAAAAATCCCCATAATTCATTATTTGGGAGGTGCAGGGGCCTTTGGTCCGCCCACGGTGAGGTTGGAGCCTCCAGCCAGGCTGTGCCGGCATGAACCCAGGGCCGGCTTTGTGCACGGCGGGTGCCCTAGCCCCGTCCTGCCCCTCTGGCCCTAACTCGATGGCCTTTGAATAGACCCAGGGACCTGTTTATGGAATGTGGTCCCAGTTTTGACGAAGAACTCCCCGCTGCTGTCTGTGTGCCCAGAGTGCTTCCTGGTCCACATACCGGCCTCAGTTCCCAGCTTGCCCGTTTTTTGGATGGAGATAATGCTTGTGCGAGCATGCACCTAGGGAACTTTGACCTTCCTCCTTGGACAAGCCGCAGAGCGGGCCCCTACTTCTGGTGGTCTCCATGGCCAGGCAGCTCCGAGCCCCCCGACCCACCTTTCTCCCGAAGAATCCAGGAGTCCCTGGCAGCCAGCAGTGAGCGGTGCGGGGAATCAGCAGCTTCATAGATTTGCTCCAGTTCCCTTTGGGACCAGGGGGCTGATGACTCCTGGACTGGCCGAGTCCTTTCTCACTTGTAAGGGGCCGTGACTGGGGAAGGCGGGTGACGCTGGGCCAGAGCTCGCCTGGTGGCTGGTAAGGCAGGGAGACGCTCGGGACGGCTCGCTTTGCAGGTCTGGGCTCCCACTCTACAGCAAGTGAGGAGCGCTCCCCCCCAAGTCCCCCTTCACAGGCACGCTGGCCTTCCCGGACCCGCAGGGCCATTTCCGGAGGAGACAGCTGTGGGCTTGCTCGCCCGTTTGCACGGCACATCCTCTTGACACCAGCACGGGGTCCCTCCAATTACAGGCACGGCGTAAACAGGATGATTAGCCATTCTCCGCCAACATGATTATATCTCTCGGTAATGCCCATGCAGGCGCCCTAACCCGGGAGAGTGGAGGCCCCCTGGACCCTCCTTTGTCTGGAAGGAGGGAGATGACAGAGGCAGGTCCCAGGGGCAGCTTTACTGACTGGGGTTAATGGCAAGGGGCCACATGGAGGTTCCCACCGCCCCAACCCCCCACAGGCCTCACGAGGCCACCCTGGCTGCTCTCTGGAAGGGAAGGGCTGAAGGACTGCCCCGTCCTCCGGGGACCCCAGCTCAGAGCAGCGCCTCCAGACACCCCTCCCCCGCCCACCTCTTGTGGCCCCAGGCCCCCCCGGGAGACTGGGGAGAGAGAGTGGGGCAGCCCACAGCCACACTGGCCCCTCGGAGCACGGGCTGCTGCAGTCACTGTGTCTCCCCAGATGCTGGCCTCGACCCCCGCGGCCACTCCCGAGCATCCCTCTGAGGAGCAGCTTTCTGGGGGGCCCAGGGAGGGGCTGGCTCTGGCCGGTCTCTGGCTCTTAGGGAGCCAAGACCCTGCCCTGTGCCCACACTCTGTGCTCTCCCCCTTGGGAGGGCAGCACTTTCCAGCTCGTTCGTCAAAGCACAGACCAGACAGTGCGGGGAGCCTGACCTGCCTGTGGCCGAAAGGGCCCAAAGACCAGCACCTGCGACGGTCCCCAGGCGGCACCAGGAGTGAGCCCTGGGCAGGACCAGGTGTGGCCCAGAACCAAAGGATTAGAATGAGATGGTTTATGCTTACAGTGCGCGTGTAGTGAGTGACCGTCCTTGGGTTCGTCATGTCGGCTTCATCCTCCCCAGCGAGCTGAGGCTCTGCATAAGAGGGCAAGAAGGCGGGCGGAGAGAGCCACCCTCTCGGGCTCAGAGGGCGACTTTGCTCCTCCCTGCCAAGTTCCGGGTGACTGGGAAAGGAGCAGATTGTGGGAGCCAGGAAGCACGGGGAGCTGGGGAGCACGGAGAGTATGGGGTGCACAGGGAGCTGGGGAGCATAGAGAGGCAGGGAGCACAGGAAGCTGAGAGCATGGGGAGCCAGGTAGCATGGCGAGCACAGGGAGCGAGGGAGCACGGGGAGTCGGGGAGCACAAGGAACACAGGGAGCGGGGAAGCACGGGGAGCGAGGAGCATGAGGAGTCAGGGAGCACGGGGATCTGGGAAGCACAGGGAGCACGGGGAGCGGGGAAACCCGGGCAGCAAAGAGAGCATGAGGAGCACGGGGATCCGGGGAGCATGGGGAGCACGGAGCGCCATGCCGGTCCCCCTCAGCCCGCATGTGTCCAGCACAGGGGCAGCTCCGGTCTGTGATGGGAAGGCAGGCTCAGTGCGGGCTGCAGTGGGGTGCGGGGTCACTCAGGACTGACCGTGCTGGTGCCCGTGGCTCGAGAGCACTCACCAGCCCCTGATTTCTGGAGAAATCCGTCGTGTCTGCGTCTGTCAGTCGGGACCATCGGCTTCTGGGCCCACCTGTGCTCTCGAGGGACGGCGTGGCACCTTCTCAGAGCATCTCTGACGTGCCACCCTCTCTCCACTGCCCAGGGGCCTGCCACCCTCCCCCTGGGCACCTCCGGGCGGTGGGCAGAGTCTCACTGTGTCTGCGCGGGCCCTGCCTGCCCCGCCTGGCTGCCTTCGCCCCACCTGGTGTTACTACTCGTCCCTCTGACTCCTCCCACCGGCCCGAGTCCCAGTCCCAGCCCACGTCGCCCGCCGACGGCCAGCTTGCGTTTCTTCCTAGAGGGGAGATCCGTTGTTGGGCGCAGCCCCGTGCTCCAGCGCTCACCCGTTGCTGGGGGCTTGCCGCTGGCCCTCGGGAGCAGACGAATGCCCGCACCCCACTTCCTCTCCCGGGGTCTCCCAGGAGCAGCACCGCCGGGTCCCGTTTGTCTGTGACACGCTGCTCGCCACAGGGCCGCCCCTCATGTTCCGCATCCGCAAGTCCTCTGTGTCCCGAGTCCCGAGAGAGGAAACATCCTGACCCCACGGGGCCCGGACACTCGCCCACGCATGGGCGCCTTGGTGATGGACGCCGCAGAGAGGCCGCGGGTGTCCCGACTGGGCTCCCGCCGTGACACGCTCCCTGTGCTTGCAGAGCTGAGCTACGCCTGGATCTTCAACGACTACCCTTCCCCCCAGGACGGCCGCCGCTTCGTCTCCCAGGAAACCGGGAACCTGTACATCGCCAAGGTGGAGAGGTCGGACGTGGGCAACTACACCTGTGTGGTCACCAACACGGTGACCAACCACAAGGTCCTGGGGCCCCCCACGCCGCTCATCCTCAGGAATGACGGTGAGTCTCCGCGGAGCTTCTGTTCACACGGGCTGAGTGTGAGAGAGTGCACTCACATGTGCAGCGGGGGTGTTTGTACAGGCGTGGGCCTGTGTGTGCTCGTCTGAGTGTATGTGCCTGTGTGAGTGTGTGAGCACTGTGTGTGTGAGTGTGAGCATACATGTGTGTGGATATGTGGGTGTGTGTAAATGAGTGTGTGAGTGTACGAACATCACTGTGTGAGTACGTGAGTGTGAATGAGTGAGTGTATGAAGACCGGATGAGTTGTGAGTGTGTGCACATGTGTGAGAGTGTCTGAGTGTCATTGTGTCTATGAATGTGTGTGAGTGTATGAATGTCAGTGTGAGAGTGAGAGTGTGAGTGTGTGAAGTGTGTGTGTTTGAATGTCAGTGTGTCTATGAATGTGTGAGAGTATGTATGAGTGTGTGAATGTCAGTGTATATGAACATGTGAGAGAGTGTGAATGTGTGAGAGTGTGTGAGTGTGTAACTGTCAGTGTATATGAATGTGTGTGAATGAGAGTGTGTGAGTGTGTAACTGTCGGTGTATGTGAACTGTGAGCCTGTGTGTTTAGTGCCAGTGTGAGACTGTGTGAGTGTGTAACTGTCAGAGTATATGAACGTGTGAGAGTGCGAGTGTGAATACGTGTGAGAGTGTGTGTGTGAGTCTGTAACTGTCAGTGTATGTGAACGTGTGAGCCTGTTTGTCCAGTGTCAGTGTGAGAGTGTGGACGTGTGTGGGCATGTGTGGCTGTCAGTGTGTGAGTGTGAGTGTGAGGGTCTCGGGTTGAGGTGAAAGGTGCCGCACTCTTGACACATGGAACATCATTGCCCGGAGGCAAGTTCCGACCTTTCCATGGTTTCCTTCCCTGACACAGGAGAGCAGGAACTCCTTAGCCGTCTCCTAGCTGGTGTCCACGCGGCAGGACACTCCAGCCAAGGCCTCCATCTCTGGGTGGCCCTTCCCTGAGCCCTGTGTCTGGGCAGCAGCCCATCCGCCCACTCCACATGTGTGCTGGGAGAAGGGCGTCCCATGTTCCAGCGAGGCCCCCGTGGCAGCTGCATGGGGGACGTCTGAGACGGATGCTAGTGGGTTCCATGCCCCAGTGGCCCCACTGCCCGGAATGCTGGACGGACTGAAATTGAGGCCCTGTCCCAAAGTGCAGATTTGGGGGCCGAGCAGCTGGACCATCCCTGAGTCACTTCCTGGGAGTGGGGGCGGGGCACTGTCCTTTCAGGGCAGCTGCCAGCAGGGCCCTTGCGTTTCCGTGGCTCCAATCTCCCATCTGGGTCCCGCTACACCAGCCTGCGTGGCGGCCACGCGAGGGAGTGGCTGGGTCGGTCACCGTACACCCCTCCCAGACTGCGGAGAAGGTCACTTGCAGCTACGGGGCATTTCCCGAAGGTTCTTCCTCCCACGTGTAGACCTGTCAAGCACGCACGCATGTGCCGTGTTGCACATCTGCACAGCATGTCTGCAGAAATGTCTCTGAAGGACTTTCCTGGGTGCCTTTACTCCCACGCCTCCCTTGGGTCAGTTTTCCCTGAGGATTCCAAGTGTCACACACAGTGCCAGCCTGGGGCAGGGCTGCACGCACGTTCCCTGACCACCCCACACCTCTACTCCCGCAGGTGTCATGGGCGAATATGAACCCAAGATCGAGGTGCAGCTGCCCGACACGGTGGCCACAGCCAGAGGGAGCAGTGCCCGGCTGGAATGCTTCGCCCTGGGCAAGTAAGTGTCCACAGGCCTCCTGGGGTGGCCGCCCTCTCTCCCGGCAATCTTCGTCCCGACCTGACTATGTCCCGGGGAGGGCCCCGGCACAGGAGGATGAGGCAGGCAGTGCATTTCTGGGAGAGACTGACCGTGTGCTGAGCTGCCCCGGCAGGCTGACCAGATGGCAGTGGCCTCCGCTATGGGACAGGCGTGCTGGCCAGTCACAGAAGGTGGACGTGTTGCTTTGCCGGGTGCCCAGCTCTCTGGGCAGGCGCCTTCTGCTCTGGGTGGGCCTGCAGGGCACCAGCATTCTCTGATGTCCAGGGCGAGATGACGCCCAGAGCTGGTTCAGGCTGTGGCACCCCCATAAGCACATCCCGCCGGGGCCCCTCGCTTTCCCGAAGACCCTGTGTGGGGGCACCAGGAACACGAAGACCAGCCGGCCTGGATGGGCTGGAGCTCTAGGTACAGAGCAGGGCAAGGTCTGCGGGTCTCCGTGCCTATCCGCGAGGTGACCACCAGCCCAGGTCACCTGGCAGCCCCACTTCCAACAGAGTGGACAATGGCAACTGAGGCACCCCCTGACCCCCCAAGCTGTCTCCTCGCAGACGCGTTTGCTCAGGGTGGGCTGCTGGGGTGTGGGCGGCCGACAGCAGTGGTGGGGCTGGAGGATTAGGGACAAACGGACACTTGACTGTACAGACAGCAGCCCAGGGCCCAGCCTGTGGCCACCCCACCTGTGCCCCCCCCCCACCAGCCTCTTTCTCCTCCCACAGTCCGGAGTCAAGACTTCACGCTCCTTTGAGACCGTCTTTCCGTCATCATGTTACTCACGACAACACTCAAACTAGGGAGAACATCCCGTATCTGTTCCCATCCCTCTGATTTACTTTACTTAGCATGCCATTCTCCAGTTTCATCTCTGTTGCACCAAATTGCACAGGTGTTTGTGTGTGAGAGAGAGAGAGTGTGTGTGTGTGTGTGTGTGAGCACGTGCATGTGTGTGTGTGTGTTCTGACACCCACCAGGGAAAGACGTTTTTTGTTTTCCTTTTTTTTTTTTTTTGCTTTTTGGGTCGCACTTGGCAATGCACAGGGGTTACTCCTGGCTCTGCACTCAAGAATTACTCCTGGCAGTCTCAGGGGACCATATGGGATGCTGGGACTCAACCCGGATTGGCCGCGTGCAAGGCAAATGCCCTACCCGCTGTGCTACTGCTCCAGCCCCTGCTTTCCTTTTTTTTTCATTAGTGAAACACCATGAGATACAGTTGTAGACTTACAAATTTTTGCGCTTGGGTTTCAATTATAGAATGATCGCGTACCCATCCCTCCACCAGTGCCCATCCTCCACCACCACTAATCCCAGTATCCCTCCCACCCCCCATCCCCCCATCCCATCCTGCCTCTGTGGCAGGGCATTCCCCTTTGTTCTCTCTCTCCTTTTGGGTGCTGTGGTTTGCAAAAGAGGCATTGAGTGGCAATCATGTTCGGTCTAGAGTCTACTTTCAGCATGCATCTCTTATCTTGGGCGGATCCTCCCAACACCCTTTATTTGGTGCTCCCTTCTCTATCTGAGCTGCCTTTTGCCCTAGCGTATGCGGCTGGCCTCGAAGCCATGGAGTAAACCTCCTGGTACTTATCTCAGCTATTCTTGGGTGTTAGTCTCCTATTTTGTTACTTTATGTTCCCCAGATGAATGCAATTTCCAGCCTGATTGAAGGCCCTTCTTATTCTCCAGCTGTGTTCCCTCACACGGCAGTGGTGCCTTCGTCCTCATACTGGCTGGCCCCACCCTGGCCACCGTTGATATCCTGGAAACTTCCCACTTTGAACCAATCATGGTAGAGCAGTCGAATGAACGTGACACAGACATTCAACATGACGCTGTGGAACAAGCTAGAAGACAGTGAAAATGCCCCTGACTAATGCCACACTCTGCTTTTATCCGTGAAACTGTGTGTTGGGGAACAGTGCGGGGGCAGGGGGAGGGCTCCAGGGGGCTCAGCACGGCTACTGGAGGGGCCGAGTCGACCCCCTTGGAGGGAGAAAGATGATGGCAGGGAGTGAGCACTGGCTCCGGTCTTGCCGCCTGAGGAGCTCCAGGAGGGAAACAAAGACCCCCCCCCTCAGGCTGCAGCCTCGTGCCGAGGCAGGGACGCGGGAATGTGCGTCTGAGGGGCCTCTCCATGCCGAGTGTCTGCTAATGAACCCAGACTCTTCTGAAGCAAGTACGGTCGCGTCGATGGCTCTAATTTTTTAAATACCATCTCAGGATTTCCAGGGAAGATTAGCGGGTCTTTAGTCTAATTGCTTCTCGGTGTGTATGTGTTTGTGAAAAATAAATAAGAAAATAATTGTCCCCCCCTGCTGGGAAGCTGCATCAGCTGCAGAGCTCCGGTTACTGCCAACTCACGGGTGTTGGCGCCCGGCCATGCCTCCTTGTAAACATCGACGTGTTCTAGCATCTTCTACAGGGTGACCAGACCCCCTCGCTCCCTCCCTCCTTTGGTTCCCCATTTCAAGGGCAGCTTCACAGATGCCCCCTGAACGGCTTGGCTGCTGAGTTTCTTCGTGTTCATTCCAGTGTTCAGGATGCGGAGAGGACTGGGGGGGAGGTGGAGAAAGAGGCCACAGTTCCCTCTGACGGGCCCCAGGCTGGTGCTGACTCGGGATCCAGGGAAGCAAAGTGCTCAGGCAAACAGAACATGCCTTGAACAGTCTGTCTGGGGCCGGAGCCAGAGGCAGTAGGGAGGGCACTTGCCTTGCCTGCAGCCGGCCCAGGTTTGATCCCCAGCACCACATTGGTCCCCTGAGCAGGTCTGGCCCCAAAGCCAACAAAAATCAGTGATGCCCCAACACGCACTATAGATTGAAGAGCTGGTGTCTGATTTTAAGAAAGTCCCGGAGCTGGTGTGGACTGGCTGAAACCACTCCAATCCGCCTGCGAGGGCCTCGGGCCCACCTGCCTGTTTAGCGCCGGGAAGGACACGCAGAGCCGAGGGGTCCCGTCCTGCGTCTCCTGCCCCTTCAGGCCCGCAATCTTTCCCCTCCCCAGCCCAGTGCCATCCATCACGTGGAGAAGGGCTGACGGGCGGCCCATCGCCAAGAAAGCCAGAAGACACAAGTCGAACGGGATTCTCGAGATCCCCAACTTCCAGCAGGACGACGCCGGCGCATACGAGTGCGTGGCTGAAAACTCAAGAGGGAAAAACATCGCGAGGGGCCAGTTGACGTTTTATGGTGAGTTTGTGGTTCCAGTTTGCCCTGGGAGTGCTCCAGACCTCGGGGGAATGAAAATTTAGGCTGGGGTGTCTGCCTCCGTGCTTTGAGCTGGGGTGGGGAAGGATGGTGCAAAATCGGATGTGAGGGCTGGGGCCATAGCGCAGCGGGGAGGGCGTTTACCTTGCATCCGGCCGACCTGGGTTCGATTCCCAGCACCCCAGAGGGTCCCCCGAGCACCTCCAGGAGTAACTCCTGAGTGCAGAGCTAGGAGAACACCTGAGCATCGCTGGGTGTGACCCAAAAAGGGGGAAAAAAGAAAAAGATATGTGAAGTCCTAGGTTTGCTTCTTAATTGGGTGTCTCTGGGTGATAGTGGTGATTGTGGTACAGACGGCAAGGGACAGCACCTGGCTTAAAAGTCGGCCGAGGGGGCGAGAGCCACAGCACAGCGGGGAGGTGTTTCTCTTGCCCGCGACCGACCCGGGTTCAATCCCTGGCATCCCATAGGGTCCCCTGAGCACCGCCAGGAGAAAGTCCTGGGTGCAGAGGCAGGAGTAAGTCTTGAGCATCACCAGGTGTGACCCAAAAAGAAAAAAAAAAAAAGTCGACGAAGCAGAGGAAGGAATCAGGCCGATTTGCTGGAGGCGGCTCACGTCTCACGACACTCGCGAAGCCACTGTTTTCCCTCCTGCAGTCACACTGCAAACTTGCCACTGGAGCGATTTCGCATTGCCTGCTCCGCGCGCATTCATTACTTTCAAGCTCTGCACTTCTCTTCATCTGGATGCTGATGGGGGGGCGGGGGGGGGTTGTGTTAATCCCTGTAATTGCTCCGATTTGCTAGCAATTGAATGTGGAGCCGTGAACATTTCAGAATGCACGAAGCCAAATTTAGTTCCTCTCCGAGCGGAGCGTGACGCATCGCTCTCACCCCAAAGACTTTCTCGGCGCAGCTGCCGCTCTGCCCTCGCTTGGCTCGTCCTGGGCCTGGGTCCAGCCGAGACAGGCACAACGCGTGTGGGCCTGAGCGGAGCCCGTTTTGGAAACCCGTCCGCTGCCCGTGGAATCCAGAAGCAGCTTTCACCGGGCAGAGCTTTCGAGAGCAAGCGAGTGCCGCCAGATTGAGCCATCCGAGTTCCAGCCTTCTGGGGGATTGAAAATAAATATTCCAGATGGGAGAGCATTCAGGGAGGGGCAGGGAGGCAGCAACGGGGAGGCCCTGCAATGAGGAGCAGGAGCTCCGACACAGGCTCAGGACAGGCTTCCCGCCCCTCAGAGATGCGCTGCAGGACAGGCTTCCCGGCCCCCAGACACACTCAGGACAGGCTTCCCGCCCCTCAGAGACATGCTGCAGGACAGGCTTCCCGGCCCCCAGACACACTCAGGACAGGCTTCCCGCCCCTCAGAGACGCGCTGCAGGACAGGCTTCCTGGCCTTCAGACACACTCAGGACAGGCTTCCCGCCCCTCAGAGACGCGCTGCAGGACAGGCTTCCCGGCCTGACTGCTTGTCGTAGCTGCAACCAAGTAGTCGGTTTGTCTTTCTGCCTCACACCTGGGCCGCATGAGCTGGTGTGTGGCCACATGAGCAAGGTTGGTCGGGTAGGGTGGGGAGCTCCCAGATCCGCTCACCCCAGTGAGGGCTGCATCCCCCGGCACCACCGGGGGACAGCTAGGGGTTTCCGGAAAGTGCTTCCCGGCCTGGAAACGGGTGTAGTTAGTTCTGTCCATCCACACCCTTGTGTGCCATCGCCTTCCACTGCCTGCGGGCTGACCCCGGCTAAGTCTCCCTCAGTACGTTGGATCTCTGCTTCCTCTTAAACTGTGCGGTTGGTGCCTCGTCGGAGGGGCACAGGTCCTGTGCTTGGGAATGTGTGAGGAGCTGAAAGTGGACACGATGTTGTGAGGTTTCCTGTCCGCCCCCGGGCCTGTGCCAGTCTGTCTGTCTCGGGCCTTCTCAGCGTCAGCTTTCCTGAGTACACACCTAGATTCTTCAGGGTGACGTGCTCTGGCCCTGACTGGGACGGGCCGAAAGAGGAGGTTTCCGGAGAGTCTCATCTGTCTCACAGACTAGGGGGGGGGCCGGACAGCCCCTGCCCCAGCAGCTGTCCCTGAGCCCCTGCCAGGAACACTGTTAGGACAAGGAGCACTCCTAGAGCCTGGCTCGGAGCAGGACGGGTGCTGCACGGGGGTGACGCAGCCGGGCCCTGGCGCTGAGCCCACGGAGCTGAGGGTCGGGGAGGCGCCAGGCGGGCGCAGAGGGAGGCACGAGGAGGGGGTGGCTCCTCTGACCCAGACTTTGGGGAGCCCTCTGGGCCTAGTGTACAGAGACCCAGGGGCAGTGGGCAGGCCCCAGGACCCCTCAGGGGCAGAGATGGAGGCCTGGACTGAAGATGCGAGGGAGCGAGACTCTTTCCTGCAGAGAGGAGGGGCCCGGCATGGACACGGAGTTCGCCTGGTCTCTGCGCCTCTTCCCACCCCGTGCCTGACAGTCACTTCCTCTGCACAGAAACAGACCCGAGAACTAGAGCCTGGCGGGGGGGGGGGGGGGGGGGGGGGGGGGGGGAAGGGCAAGGCACCCGAGGGCAGAAGTCTTTGTGAAAGGGCCTCTAGAGGGTGTCAGAGTGTGGCAGAGCCCCTGCACCCCCAGGCATCCCCCAAACACACACATGCTCCCTCAGGGGACTCACACACACACACACACACACACACACGTGACTCTACACACATGTGACTCTATACACACGTGACTCTACACACGCACGATTCTGTACACACACATGACTCTATACACACACATACATGTGCTCCTCCAGGTGACTCCACACACGTGATTCTATACATACACACACAAGAATATATATACACACTTGTGCTCCGCCAGGTGATTACACACACACACATACGTGATTCTATACACACACATGTGCTCCCTCAAGGCACTCTACACACACACACACACACACAATTCTATCTACACATACACACATGTACTCCTTAGGGGATTCTGTATACACACATGTGTTTCCCCAGGCGACTCTCCTACACACACACACACACACACACACACACACACACGCGTGCATGCATGTCCCACACGTGGTTATCTCTGGCGTGAGCTGTTTCTCCCCCTCATTGGCAGCTAAGAAGCAGCAGTTGTCGGGGCCAGAGGTCCTGCTCCAAGCCCATCTCCCCAAGAGGACGCCTCTTCTGGCCGGCTCTGCCAGATGGTGACCACAAACTCCACCCCCAAGACCCCCCGGGGACAGGGCGGAAAGGAGCCGCCCCGAGTGGCTGGTGGCGGGCTCCCGTGAGCAAGAGCCGGACTTGCCGTCGTGGGATGGTGGATTCCAGTGAGCCAGTCCTGGCTACTCCCTGTGGGCAAACAGAGGCAAAGGGTCCAGTGCGGGCTGGCCGTCCCTGTCGGGGGCTCGGCACACCGGCATCGACTTTCGTCTCGAGTGTCGCGGTGGTTTCTAGTTCTCCCCACTCACACCCAGAGGCCTGGTCGATAGCCGTGCCTAGCAGGGAGAGACTGTGCTCTCTTCTACTGAACGAGCTGGCCGTGTGCAGAGGGTCATGTGGACACAGACCCAGGAAGCCTTCCTGGAGGAGGTGTGAACAGTCGCTGGGGAATGGGAGGGGAAGATCCAAAGCGCAGCACGGCATGAGCGAGGGGGTGGGGAGCAGGGCCGGCTGGCTGGGCCTGAGACACGGTTGACCCCAGGACCCCAGGGTGGACAGGGCCTGTGGGTGCCCTGGGCCCATCTGCGAGGCGGTGGAGGAGCACTGTGGGAGCAGGAGACCGAGGATTTCAATGATGCTCAAGTCCCAGACCTGTCTGCAGCATCCCTTCACTCCCGCTGGCGTGGGCAGCTCTGGGTCTCCACTGCGGTCAGCAGCCGCTGTCCACACTGTCCTCTGCAGGCGACCCTCCGGCCCGCACGCTCAGCCTCCCGGGAGAGGGTTCTGCAGCTGAGTCGCTCTGCTGGAAACGGATCCGGCAGACGGGGCACGTGCTTTCATGTGCCCCAGAAGCCTCCACTGGGTCCCGGCCCTGAGCACCCGTGGGGAGGATTCTCAGCACTGTGGTGCAGGGGCCAAACAGCATCAGGGCTGGCCCCAGGGCCCTGGGCACCGCTCTCGTGGAGTCACCAGAAGTGAAAAACAAGAACAAAACCAGATGGGGCTGGAGAGGTAGCACAGGGCTTAGGGTGTTTGTCTCACATTTGTCCGTTTGTCCATCCCCAGCCCCCAGAGAGTCCCCCGAGCCGCTGGGAGTGACCCCTGAGCACTGAGCCACGAGTCAGCCCTGAGCATGGTCGTGCCTGCCCCCAAACTGCCTCCCTAACAGAAAATCAAAGACGTGAGCCCACACCTCCAGGAGTGGCAGGCAGCAGGCACGTGTGGGCTGCGACTGCGGGTGGCCGCTCTCTGCCTCTGAGCACTGTCTTGGGGCCATGGCTGTGCTCGTCTGTCTCCACCAAGAGACGCGGTCACTGAAGGAGACCGTTCCCCTGAGCCACACGCGTGTCCGGCCGCCTCTGCTCCATGGGCCAGCATGGGTCACACACGTGTCCCCAGTCTGCACTAGCTGGCTGAGCGCAGTCACCCAGTCCATTGTGACTGCCGGCATTCGCTCTCTCGGTCAGGGAGGAGGACACTGTCCTCCGGCCGGGCTGGGCGTGTGGGAGGGTGTCCTGTGAAGCACCCAAACACCCCTCAGCCTGGCTGGGGGCAGGGGGCTGGGGTGGCGTGGGCAGCGTCAGGCCTGCGTGCAGAGCCCAGCTCCATCGAGAGGAGGAATCCCGGCAGCAGGCCCTGCCCGTGGCAGCACGTGGTACCGCGGCGGGACACGGCTCCCTTGTGTGTCTGCAGCCCAGCCGAACTGGACGCAGAAGATCCACGACCTGCAGGTGGCCATGGAGGAGAGCGTGTCCTGGGAGTGCAGGGCCGGCGGCAGGCCCCGGCCGTCCTACCGCTGGCTGAAGAACGGAGAGCCGCTGCTGCCACGGGTGAGCAGCCCGGGGACTGTTGCCACGGAAACAGGGAAGGGGGCTCCCAGGTGTCTAGGGGAGAGGCTAGGGGGCTGTCCAGGGGGCTCCCTAGACAGGCCAGTGTGGGGCCAGGGCGCGGCTCCTCACTTCACGCCCGCACGCGGCACATCCCCCTCTGCCTGGACGCGACACTCCGTAGTGTGGGCTGGGGATGCCTGCCTGAGTGCACGTGCGTTTGCCCCTGTGTGAGCATGTGCCCATACATGTGAGCATGTGTAAGTATGTGAGTGTGAGTGTGTGTGAATACATGCATGTGTGTGATCGTAGCTAAGTATTGTGCGTGTGTGCATGTGTGTGATCAATGTGTGCTCATGTGAGCATTGTGAGTGTGTGTAGACATATGAATGTGAGCCCGTGTGCCTGTGTGAGATCATGTGTGAACATGTATTGTGCATGTGTGTGATCATGTGCGTTCATGAGCCTGTGTAAGCATGAGTGTGAGCAAGTGTGAGATCATGTGTGAGCATGTGTGTGATCATGTGTGCACATGTGTGAGCATTGAGAGTGTGTAAGCGTATGATCAAGAGCACTGTGCACATATGTAAGCATGTGTGTGAGTGACCATGTCTGAACATGTGTGTGTAAGTATGTGAGTGTGTAGCATGTGTGTGCGGCTCTGGGAAGGGCACAGATGGACCCAGTCAGGACTCACAGATGCGCCCAGAGCCTCTCCTGGAGCCAGGGCAGGGCAGTGTTAGGGTGAGCAGAGCCAGGCTGAGGGGAAGGAGCCCACCGTGCCCTGGGCCTTCCGGAGCAGGAAGGTCCCTCTGTACCTCTCACCGACTCTGGCCAGCACGGGCGGGGCCGCTCTCTCAAGCCTGGTGAGACTCAGATGCTGAGCCGAAGAAGCAGCAAAGTCTCCGAGAAGCTGCAGGCTCGCCCACCTCTGCCTGGAGGGAAGAGCTTCAGCACTGCTGCCCTTAGGGTGCACGTGAGGACAATACTGGCCATCCTGAGGAAGGCCACCCAGGAGGCGGCCACCTGGCCCCAGTCCAGCCACTTCCCTCTCTCCTTGGCCGCCAGTGCCCTGACATCTCTGTGAGGTAGGAAGTTCCAAGCAGAGGCTGGAAGCTGAGACCATGAATCTCCAACCCTGGGCAGGAGGCTGGACGCTGCCCCAGTGGGGACTCAGGCGTGGGGACTCGTGTCCGTCTGTGTCTCCTTCCGGGTCCCTACACGTCCATCCAGGTGCTTCTGCCTCCTCCTGCAGCAGTGGGCAATCTCGCCCATCGGTCAGCACTCTGTGGACAGCACAGCCCACATCCCCCAGCTGCGTGTACCTCACTGAGATCATGGCCTCAGAGGCCTCCAGAGTATTGCCGGAACGTCGCCAGCCCCACCCCAGAGCCCAGAGCCCAAGAGGGCAAACACGATTTCAGGTGCATCTGTTTAGAGGGTCATTAGTCTTGAATGGCGTCGCTACTAAATCGAGCTCCGGAGAGCCCAGCCGTTTAAACTCCCTCCCCGGCTGATGGGGGCTTGATGCGGTCAGCGCCTGCCCTGCCCCCAGGCGAGCTGGCAGGTGAATAGGTCACATTCTAAATGCCGCGTGACGGTCACTTTCTGCCCATGAAGCCCCTTTGATAGACCCTGGAACAGAAGCGCCTGGCTTCGGGCGTGAAGGTCACTGTTCCCTGCCCTCTGCCCGCAGGAGGGGGTCCAGGTGGAGCAGGGCACGCTCAACATCACCACGGTGAACCTGTCGGACGCGGGCATGTACCAGTGCGTGGCAGAGAACAAGCACGGTGCCATCTTCTCCAGCGCGGAGCTCAGCGTCCTCGGTGAGTCAGGTGGGAGGAAGAGCCACCAGGTTCCCCATCAGGTTCACCGGGAGGAGGGTGGCCGCCCCCACACGCACACGCCGCCTCCCCAGCCTGAAGCCGGCCCCACTGGGCCTGGGGCCTGCTCCTTCCTCCCGGCAACCCAGCCCCCCTGACGCCGCTGGGCACCACCTGGTGTCCCCCCCCCTTTATCCTGGGACCTCCCCTGGGTCTGAGACTCATGGTAAACACTGAACAAGCAAGAGAATGGGTGAGTGGTGACTGTGGAAAGGAGCAAGTTGTGTTTTAAGTCAGTTCATGAGACGGTGAATCAGTGAATGGGGCTGATGGACCTGGGGGTATTTAGGAAAGTTCAGACCATCCACTCCTATGTTTATAAGTGAGGATGGACACAGATGTGTGAAAACATGTTCCCCCATGAGCATAACCAAAGCCTGCACGAATACATGGAACCTGTGTTCTCACGTATGCACGTGAGGATGGACACAGATGTGTGAAAACATGTTCCCCCATGAGCATAACCAAAGCCTGCACGAATACATGGAACCTGTGTTCTCACGTATGCACGAGAGGAATACATGCATGTGTGAGTACAAACGTTCTCATATGTGCATGGGAGGAATACATACATGTATAAGAACCTGTGATCTCATGTGTGCATGAGAAAAATACATGTGTGTAGGAGAACCTGTGTTCTCACATGTGCATGAGAAGAATGCATGTGTGTATGAGAACTTGTCTCATGCACAAGAAGAATATTTGCATGTATGAGAACAAATGTTCTCATGTGTGCATGGGAGGAACACGTGCATCATCACATGTTCATATGTTCTCATGTGAGCATGCGCTCTCTGCATTGTGTGTGAGCACATGTTCTTATGTGCGTGTGCAAGCATGTTTTGGGATTGCAAGGACACGGGAGCACGTGGACACTTTCTCAGCGCCAACATCAGTGCAGTCACGTCTCGTCACTGCCCTTCCCGCTTTGTGCCACGGATCCATGGAGAGCTGGCAGGGGCTGGCATCCCCCTGCTCGGCTCCGTACTGGCCGATTGCTGCCCCTGGTCAGACCAGGTTCTTTGGGGCGGGCAGAGAGGGAGTGGCCGCTCAGGTCCACGCCCAGAGAGCGCATCAGGGCGGGCCGGGAAGCTCCCGAGGGCGTTGCTGCGCCCTGGGGCAGGGTCAGTGCTGGCCAGTGGCAGCTTCAGAAGGGACTTTGTGTCTGAGGGGGACCCCCGAGTCCTTCCCAACAGTGCCACGGACTCGGCCATGCTCAGACCCCGGGCTCCACGCGGAAACACGGCGGGGGCAGGCAGGGCCCAGGACCCCTGCAGCTGACTGGGCCCGAGACAGGAAGCAGGCAGCAATGGCCCTACATGGGACCAGCCCAGCCTCAGCCCCTGACATTCCACCTGGTCCCCGGAGCACTGCCAGGAGGGAGCCCTGAGCACAGCGGATGTGGCCCCCAACAGCAAGACCCCTATGGTTATTGACGCCGTATTGCGGCATCACATTCTGCGGGTTTCGGGAGTGTGTCCTATGCAGATCCAGACCAAGATCCGTGTGCGCGTGTGCAGGTTCAGACACTTGTGTGCACACACTCACACCTGTGTGTAGTGTGCCCATCTCCGTCCCCGTGCACACGCGCCATGCAGCCCCCACTCCGTCAGCTCCCCTTCCCGGGTGCAGCTCCCTGGGGCTTCTCCTCCCTCTGGACACACCACGGCCTTCCCAAGCTCGGCCCTCCCGTTCCCATCGCACACAGAGTGGGTCACTCCGCGTTTCCCCATCAGACTAATTCCACTGAGCGTGAGTCTTCCAGGCCCATGTGGTGTTACAGGGAGCGGCTTCCTCTCCCCAGTGGGCGCACCCCTGCTCTGTCAGAGGCTCTGTTTCCCTCTCCGCCACCCCCTCCAGTATCCCTGAGTCCAATTCCCGTGGGAAAATGCAGCCCTGATCACGGTGCATCTGTCTCTTCAAATTAATATTTTCACCCGAACAGCCAGAAGTGGGCTAACCCGGATAGTGTGAGATTCCTAGTTTTGGTGTTTCGCGGGCTCCCCGGCTACTTTCCATGGAGGCGGCACACTTCCCAGCCCACCCCAACCTGCCCACCCTCTCCCTCCTCACCAATGCTCCTTTCTTGTCCTTTGGGAAACAGCCTTCTCCCGGAGGTGGGAGGGGCAGCCCTGGATGCCCCTCCTGTGGGCGGGGGAGCGCCTTCCCTTGCCCGTGTGCATCCCAGGTCCTCCTGGCAGAAGTGTCCGTCCAGATCCTCAGCCAGTTCCTAATCAGGCCGTATTGTCAAGTGTTTCAGGAATTGTCACCTCTCTGAATGTCAAGACTGGGAGGAATGGCACACAGAAATCTCTCTTTGGGCAAATGTCCTGTTTGGGTGAAAATTTCTTTCACTGTGCAGAATCTCTTTTAGTTTGATGTTGAGTTTTGCTTTAATTTCCCGTGTTCTTTGGGTCGAATTTCCACCCCCCCCAGACCAATATTCAAACAAGGATTGCCCATTTTCCACGCCATTCCTTATGATTTCAGATCTTTCATCTTTCTATTGGTATCTTTAGTCTTATCTTGCTGGACTTGTAAGCTCCATGTCCACTTTCACTTTTTGTAGATGGACGTTCCGTTTCCCCAGCTCCATTTAAAGAAGAGATTTTTCCATAGTTAAATTCTTTGCTCCAACCTGGCCACCTATGTGTGGCTTTATTTCTTCCTTTTCTTCATTAGAGAAGCTCACAATCCAGATTTATAACTCCATTCAACAAATACTCTTTCTTGTAGCCAAGTTACTCATAATCAAGTATGGCCACGAGTACTTAGGACATTGTCCCAAATAAAATGGAATCGCTTAGTTGTGGTGCTGGGGACCCAAACCATATGCCAGGCCATGGTGCAGCCACTGAGCCCCATGCCTGGGCCTGACCCATTGCTCCATGGAAGAACACGAGGCCCATGGGCCATTCGAAACTCACACTCCCTTATTCTCTGTACGTGGTACCTCTCTGCCTAAGTCAGCAGGGACGCAGCACTTACAACATCCTGTAAATACGATATTGAATCAGACTGTTTCTAGTGGTACAGGAATTGGGATGGAAGGCAGGAGGGATCCACGCTGACTCGGAGCTGATCTTTTGGGAATGACACTTCCGGGAATCCCCCAGGTGGGGGCTGCTTAACCGTTTTGTAGAGAGAAAAGACTGCAGCCTTTTGTAGAGAGAAAAGGAGGAGCCACGAGGTCCTGAGGTCACCGTGTCCATGGAGCACCGACAGCTGTCCCGAGCCCGGAGTGGCAGCTGGAAAGTGTTTCCCACCCACCACGGTCTACCACCGGACTCAACTGCCCACAGGAACTGCCCACTCAGACATGCCTCGGGGCATCCTGCCGGGCTGGAGAAAGCCCCAGAGGCTCAGAAGGTGGCCTGGTCTGAGGTCTCAGGGCAACAGAGCTGGGGGAGCCCTGCCTCTCGGCTCCAGCCCCTCCTCTGGCCTTGAAGCTGTGCACACTTCCCCTGGGGCTTGTGCTACTCTCAGGGGGTGCCAGGGGACGTGGGGGACACAGACAGCCACCTCTGGGCTGATTTGGGCTACATCTGGCTGTGCCCAGGATTTATTCCTGGCTCTGTGCTCAGGGGTCACCCCTGACTGACTCAGGGTACCTAATGGGGTGTTGGGGCCTGTGCAAGGCCAGTGCCCTCCCCCGTGCTCTGGGCCCCTAGTGCGTCTTTGCTTGGACAGAAGAGGGTCCCAAACAGCCCCAGGAAGCGAGGGTGGCTGGCAGCAGATGGGTGAGGTGCAGGTCAGCATTGGCCACCCCCCCTCCATCAGGACATTCCCGAAGGAGTGACCAGGGCCCCAGACACCAACACCATCAGGGACAGTTGGGGTCTCAATCAGGGAAATCTGATATATGGTACCCTCGTCCCTGGCATGGCTGGACAGAGGCCACTCTCACGTGTCACGGCCACCCTCGTGCCAGAAGCTCTCTGGGCTGGTGGCCATCTCCTCCGTGGTGGGAACTGTGAGTGGAGGCCGAGCCCCAGGTTGCCTTTGTGGGATGATGCACCACTCGTGGGAGACGAGAGACCGCAGGAACCGCTCTGTTCTCTGAACTCAGACGGGCCATCCCAATGGCCAGCCTGGCTGGCAGCATCCCAGTGGTCGTACCCGGCTGGCTGGCAGGAACTGCCCATGTTGGGGGGGGCTCACGGTCAGAGGCCAGACCCACCCCTCCAGTCTCCCCTCCCACTGTTCACCTTCCGAGAAGAGGCACAACATCCAGCTGTGAGGGTCCTGCCAGTCACCAAAATGCTCTTTCCCAGAGTCATCCGGAGAGTAGGAAGGCTGCCAGGAGTGGCCTGGAAGGTCCATCCGCAAGCGCCGCCCAGAAACAGCAGAGCTTTGAGCTCTTATGGACTTGGACAGACACAGAACCAGGCTCCACACGCAGGAGGGCACCTGCTTCGTGCCTGCACCGGGGATCAGGGCCCTCGAGCTGGGGCATGAAAAAGGGGCCAGCTCCCCATCTGTCCGGCACGGGGCCTGCGTCCACCTGTCAGCAGGTCGCGTGGCCACTGTCGCCCTCTATCCTGAGCCCTTCGGGGCCTTCTGAAATGGCGCCTCCAAGGCCCGGTCATGCGTAATGTACCTCCACGTGTGTCCCCGAGGGCCAGCATTAGGCTCCTTCCTCCGTGCCCACGAGCATCGGAGGTCTCACCTCCTAGAGAGAACAAGTCTAGGCGGCTTCACTTTGCCCTGACGGTACCTCCCGCTCCGGGCAGAGAGAGGCCAGGCTCGGGTCAGCATCAAGAATCTCTGGTGGCGTTTGTCGGCCGTGACAGCCCAGCTCCAGGAGCAGATGGGCTGGGGGAAGGGAAGGTCCCCTCCACCCCCGGAGCACGACAGCCCTACCCAGCTTTACTTCCACGATCGCCGGAAGATAATACACATGTAAACCAGATGGAACAAATGCTTTTGAAATGGAAGGTGTGTTTTCTACCTTCTGTGTGGCTGATAGCAGGCTATTTCAAACCCCGTAAAGGTAATATATAGTTTTTTGACAAATACACCCATGCGCGGCGCACAGTTTGATTTATGTAAACTCATTTCAGATGCGCCTGCAGAATTCCCCCTGAGCAGATGAAAAATGTCTGCCTCCAGTGATAAAAATATCTGTGTGCAGGAGGATGGAGTTTTAAGAAGGGATTTTTAGATGATACAGATTTGAAACCTGATTTCACTAAATGCTCTTTGAAAAAAAACTTCTAAAGAATTTTTTTTTTAACATTAAGGAGTGAAATCAGGTGTTCGCCTCAGATTAGGAGGAGTCTGTTCTGCCATAGAGCCTTTGGGGGTTGCCCGCGAGCAGATAAGGGGAGGTGAATGGGGGGTTGGTGTGGGGATAACAGAGATATTTGGTGTACGTGGATTTCACTAATTGCTGCGCATAACAGCACCACCGGCAGGGACCGTCCTGGCGCTCCAAGCACCCGGGCAGCACCTGTTCCTGTTTCCCCCGTCCCTCCGGCCCTTTCGGCTGGGGGCTCTGACGTAGCAATATTAGCACCCAACACTCTGCAAGTTCCTAGAGTTTAACATCTCACCTCTGCCTCCTTTTCTCTCCCGCTACAGTCTCTGTACACACACACACACACACACACACACACACACACTGTGTTTCTTACAGTGCTGATCTGTTCAGAGCATGGCTTTTTTTCCCTGTTCATCCATACATTTTCAAGGATCATTATTGTTTCTGTAAGAGCTGTCCTTACACAAATATTGAGTAGGTGTGTGCTGACCCTATCCTATAAATCGCCCTAAAACCTGATGATGTGATTTTTCAGCTCATGCTAGGAATGAAATTATCTCCTGCTGGCAGAAAGGCTTGTTCTTGCAGTTACTGCATGTTTCAGTCTAGAATCTCTCTCTGAAATACGGACTCCCCTCCTGAATGCCAGGCACAGACTCCATGGTAGCTATGCTCTAGACCATCTAGTTAACTGCCGTGTACGTAGGTCAGACCAGCCCGTGTGTGCGTTGCTCCCTCCATCAGAAGCTCGCCTTCACTCTCTTTGTTTATCTCTGTCGATGGCGGGGAATATTCCCACCACTAACACACTTACTCCAGATTAACCTGCTTTGCTGCAGCTTGCTTTCATGTGGTGTGGATACACTTGAGAACTGCGCCCCGCCCTCTGCACCCCTGCATGCCCATTCTCAGCTCTTTAAGTCTTTTGTGCTTGTCACCCATATTCCACGTTCCAGAGACCGGCTTTCCCATCCATCGGGTCAGACTGCAGGAGTCAGGGTTTATGCGTGGAAAATGCCTCAAGGGGCCCAAGAGACAAGTCAGAGGAGAGGCACATGATTTGGGGGACTCGGGTGGAGGGAGGGAGGACTCTCAGGAAGATGCCCTTGATACTTGTTCCGGTGAACACATATCTGTAGTCCAGACAGAATTCCGGGCTGGGGAGAGAGGGGGATGGCACTCGCCTTGCACATGGTTCATCCCGGAGAGCCACCAGGAGTGACCCTTGTGAGCAGCGCTGGGGCTGGCCAGAGCCAGTAACCAACAGGGAATCTCTGGTACTGTCTGCGCACAGCTGTGGTCTGCAGGCGTTGAGCTTGTGGGGCTCCCGCAAGCAACCCCAGTGTCACCTGCCAACCATGGGGGACTTTATTTGGGGGGTGGCGAGGGTTGGACATGTGCCAGGCAAGTGCCTTAGCCCCCACACTGTGTGTCAGGGCTCTGACCTGGGCAGGGCACCGCCTGGGGGACCAGCAGCAGCTCAGCTTCTCTCTGAGTCAGGGCTGTGCTGGGCACTGGGCAGGGAGGGTCAGCGCCTGTCTGTGGTCAGGGGCGTGTGGGCCAGGGGTAGGGGGGTCAGGACCTGGCACTCTCTGGCACTCTGGAGCATGCTCCGGCACTCTGTGGCACTTTCTGGCACTCTCTAGCATGCTATGGTACTCTATGGCACTCTATGACACTCTGGCTTGCTCTGGTACTCTGTGGCTCTCTCTAGCATGCTAGGGTACTGTATGGCACTCTGTGGCATGCCTTGGTACTCTGTGGCACTCTGGCATGCTGTGGAACTTTTTGGCACTCTATGGCATGCTATGCTACTCTCTGGTGTATCATGGCACCCTACAGCACTCTCTGGCACTCTGTGGTATGCCTTGGCATTCTATGGCACTCTCTGGAACTCTGGTACTCTATGGCAGTCTGGCACTCTGTGGCATACTCTGGTACTCTCTGGCATGCGATGGCACACTGTGGCACAAAGGGATGAGTCGCTCCTCCTTTGCCCTCCTGAAATGTTGACTACTGCCATGGTGTGAAGGGGGAGTGAGTGACTCTTCAAGACCCCTGTGGGAGGTGACACAGGGTCCCCTCTTGGCCTGCAGAATGGGGTCTCCCAGCGCCGACATTTCACCACAGTGCCTTGACTCCACCCTCCAGCATTAACAGAGCCGTCAGAAATGCACCGCGCTGCGCCCTTCATTCAGGAAAGAATGCGGTTTCCTCCTGCGCCACAGCGGCCCTCGCTTGGAGCAGAGACGGGCAGGGTGAGGCCGCAGCCTTTCCTGCTGTGTGACTGACGGTGGCTTTGTCTATGTTCTCTTTCAGCTGCAGGCCCGGATTTCTCGAGGACCCTCTTAAAAAGGGTCACTCTTGTCAAAGTGGGCGGTGAGGTGGTCATCGAGTGCAAGCCCAAGGCCTCGCCCAGGCCTGTCTACACCTGGCGGAAAGGACGGGACAGGCTGAGAGAAAGTGCAAGGTACCGTGGGAAGCCGCCACCGGGGAAGGTGTTAGCTGGGGCTCCGGGAATGGAGGAGCCGAGGGGTGGCCCGGGGGTCGGCCTCGGGCTTCATGGTGACGGGAAGGTTCTCAGGGTGACTCTGCCCGGACCTCATGCGTGTTGCTGAGCCCAGGGAGTGGCCGGAAGGTCGTGTCTAGGTTTGCTTCTCTCTAGCCGGCTACGTCCTGCGTGAACAAACGCATCCAAGCCTTTGCTGTGACTCCGCGTCTGACGATGTCCACAGGCAGCTCAGACTCCTGAGTTCCTGTTGCTCTAATCCTGAAGCTCATTTTGCACTGGAAATGGCCCCCATTCTCTTGACCACGTGGTTTTGAAACTATACTTGCTTTCTCCTTTCCAATGCCAAATTCCTTCCCTGTGTGTTTCTAACTCTCCGGTAATTTGGATGTTGTTGACGCCTGTGGACAGACGTGCTTTCAGGGGTGTAAAGGTTCTCTTGCACTAAGTGGCAGAGAACCCCCAAACCCACCCTGGGTGGTCTCCACTCCAAAGCAGCCCCCCGCCCTTCCAGTCCTCTGTTCCCTCTGTTGGAAACCGGTAATGATGCGTGATCTGTGTTTGTCACCTTTGGGGTAGCATTTGCCAGCTGTATCCATATCGACTCTAATTGATGGTAAAGGTCAGACCTGCCGCCTGCAATGATGAAGCCCATACCCGCCCTTTACACCTGCACACGCTGCATTTGCATATGCAAAGCAGATCATCGTGCTGATGATGTTGTCCTTATTAACTTTTGCAAACAAACCTGCCATGGTTTATGGATGGTGCACTCAGGCATGCCCCTCCCGACTGCTGCATCCGGGGGGTTGGTGGCTCCTCTGGAGGATCCTGGGTCCTGGACAGTTCACTGCAGGCCCCAGGCTGTGGCTGTCTCGAGGGCAGAATCCCCTGGCTTCCCCGGACTCCTCCCAGTGACTCATCGTCTGTGTCTGGTGGGGACAAAACTGGTGCCATGGGAAGGACTTGGAACAAAGCTGCCCCCTGGGGCTCCCGCCATCCTTTGCCGAGAGTGGACAGCTCAGCTCCCCACGGCTGGGGACTTGGGGTCGAGGAGGGTCTCAGGGCCAATGGCTTCACCCCACTCTCAGGCAGATGCTGGGAGGGGTAGCACCCCCTGAAGCAGGGTGTTCCAGCAAAGGTTCCTCCCACAGCTGGGTGCCCCCACTTCCCCTCCCAGCCTGTCCCCAGCTCTGCCCTCACTGTACCCAGGGGAAGCGTCCACCACCCACCCGACATACCCACTGTGATATCATGCCCAGGCCCGGTGCTGGCTGACCTCCCTGGACAGAGCTCATTGACTGGCACCAGCCCTGGTGTCCTCAGGTGACTGGCCCTCAGTATAGCTCTAGCCTCAGCGGACACCCAGCATAGATTAAGCCCGGGGAGCCGGCCTGGTTCCTGCCCACCCAACAGCCTCTGAGCTGACCTCCCCCGAGCCTGTGAAGTGGGAGCCTGGGCACTGTGCAAGGCCTGGCTGGTCCCCAGAGCGAGGGGAAGACCATGGGGCAGGGCGGCCAACTCGCGGCTCTGAGGCCACAGAAACCTGGTGGGACTTGAGCCCCTTCTTCCTTGAGTGCCAGCAGTGAGCACTGGTCTCTCTGTGTCTGTTGCCTGCACCCAATCCCGGGACCTGATGTCCACCTGTATCTCCACGATGAGAGGTTGTCTCATACCCAGCAGTTTCTGAAAAGGGGGAATTAGGGAGTAGCTGACTTATTTGTCATTGGCAGAGAGGAGAATCTGCCATTATTCTTCTTTCTGGAAAAGCGATATTGGTCATAACTATAGCGAAGCATCGTGTGTAGAATGTATGAGTGAAAGGCTCTTACACCTCTGTTTTGGGGGACAGTCGAGAGACGGGCAATGTGAAACGTCGAGTTCTTTGGAAAACCCCATCCCCAAATCCCAGTGCCAAGTCGTTGCCTCCAGGCACTGAACCATCAGCAAATTCTCGTTTGAGATGTGGACCCTCGAGGATATAAAAGCATTTTGATGCATTTACATTGCATCAAAGAGGATAAGATACTGAGGAATAAATTTAACCAGTGACAGAAAGACATGTACACTGAGAACTATGAAATTTTGATGGAAGTATGGAAGAGATTTCGGAAATGTGAAGACCATCTACGCCCATGGATCATCGTTGGAATTAATCTGGTTAAAGTGCTCCTTCTTCGCCAAGCGCGCTTCAGCGTGGAGGTTATTTGCAAAACTGAAAATAGAACAACAGCACGATCCGGCGATGCCACCTCGAGCTATTTTTCAAAGAAAACAAAAACATTCACTTGAAAAGATTCTGTGTTTTGAAAGATTTTGCCAAATGCCACGTACTACGAGAGATTTTGTGTCGGTTTTAACTAAGCAACTGACTGCAAATGAGTTAAGGATAAAAAGGCTCATACATGCCATTTTGAAAATGCAAAAGGCTTTTATCTTATTTATCACAGTTACTCCGTGGCTGCAGGATCAGAGACGCCACTTTGACACTAACAGGGAAACTGTTCGAGCATGTTGTCTGTGTTTGGCCTTTGGTGAGTTTAGAACCTTGAGGCCGCTCTTGGCCCTTATTAACGCCCCGAGCTTGGGAGCAGATGCGGGACAGACCATCCAGTTCCCTCATGCTCTGCACACTGAAGGGCTGGCGGTGCGGATGCCTGGACAGGAGCATCCCGTCGAGGCCTGGTCTCGGTGCCAGAGGCTTCCCCTGGCCAGGGCGTAGCACAGAATGATTGCACAGAGGCAACAGGGGCTGTGACGTGCTGCCATTGGCCGGCCAGCAGGACACGCACGTAAGACAGGAGTAGGGCCGTGATACAGTGTGAGAGCCTCACTCGTGGATTCTGTGTCCGGCACTTGGCTATCGTCACAGCTTTTCTTTCTGCTTTTCCAGAAAGAAGAGAAATGGCAGGAAACTCCAACCCCGTGGGCGTGGGGGACCCCGGGGGCTTGGCGCTGGCTAGGTGTGGCGGGCCCAGCCTCTCCCACCAGAGGCCCCTGTGAGGGGGCCGTGACTGGCTCGGCCCCTTGTGGCCTCACGCCCCAGCCCGGCCCCGTGGATTCTGCTGTGGGGGGGACACAGGGGTTGTGTGTCCCCCTCCAGCCCTGTGCCCGGCTCAGTGCCTGGCCTCCAGCCCGCTGAGCCGGGCACAGGGCATGGGTGTGGTCGGCCCCTACCGGAAGGTTCCCTTCCTGACTGACGCTGAAACCTCGTGTGGCGAGGGGCTGGCCTGTGTGTGGCCACCTCGGTGACGCTGCCCACCTCAGGTCCACTGCAGAGCCTGGAAGGGCCATGTCCGCGTTGGGGAGGAAGAGGCTCCCTTCAGCTTGAGAGGGTCTCACTGTAGCAGCCGCCCAATAAGGCTCGGTTAGAATCCAGGTGCTGGTCTGCATCAAACTCCACGGTTATCTCACGGGAGTCTCAAAATTGACAACGGGCCTGATGGGAGCAGATGCCCGATGGCTGTCTTCACAGGCACCTCCGAGTGGATGTGTCCGTCAGCAGCTCAGAATTCCGGTCCTGCCGCGGCATCCACCCACAAGGACGGTGCTGCCCTCTGGTCACCATTTCCCCCGGGGTCACACCAAGATCCTGTTTGCCTTCTCCTGCAAACACCATTCCACAGGGGCTGGGGGGGGGGGGGGTCCCAGGGAGACCTGTGGGCCAACAAGCCATGGACCATACTCTTGGGCAGCGCTTCTTGCCCAGAGCCTCACCTAAAGCCCCAGGGGACGATGCAGCTGACCAGGCCCCCGGGACACTGCCTCCCTGCCTCCGGCACCTCGGGCTGGGGACAGCCTCGGGGTGTGTGTGGGGGGTGGGGGGGACAAGGTTTGGGCAGCAGCACCCTGTTGGAACCAGCTTTGCCTGGAACCCACCCTCTCTGGAGCCTGACCTGAAGTCAGTTCTGAGGGCCCGTGGGCAAGGCCTGCTCCCCACGGTGCCCCAAACCACAGTCTCGCAGCGCTGACCACCTCCATCACACCGTCTCCACCCCGGACTCCAACTACCCACGCTGCCCAGGGTCACTCTGGCTCACTCAGGCTCACTCGAGCATGGAAGCAGGGGGCTGGGCGCTCGCTGGAGGCCTCACCCTGTGTCGCCTGGTCCCTACCCCCTCCGCCCGCCTTGTAGCGAGGAAGCCAGAGACGAGCCTCAGCCCCCAGGCGTGGGGAGGATCGATCACGACAGACGCTGCCTGTCTGCTCCACGCGCCCTCCGAGATATTAAACTGTCGCTGTGTCAAGTGTCTTGTCGCCCCTGATGGGGTGACGCAGAGACTGCAATTATATTTCCTGGGTTTGGCTCCGACCTTTGCGTCCCCCTCGGCCCACGGAGTCCCCACAGGAGCTTCCGAGAATATTGTCGGCATCACGGCAATTGCAAGGTCCGGGCTCACTCTTCCTGCCCGTGTCGGACTCAGAACCGGGGCACAGGCTGGGGAGCGCCACCAGCCCCGCGTGCTGGTCGCCTCCCGGGTCCAAGCTGTCCAGCCCAGCGGGGGTGGCCTCTGTGGCGACGGAGTCCCCACCTGTCCCCTCCTGTCTCTGAGCGTCTGTCTCGAGGCAGCTCTGTGCAGATCCCAGAATCGCAGTTTCTGCTCCGAAAGCCTTCGCTCTCGTCTTAGGAATTCCTGCGGTGAGAATTAAATAGGTTCTAAAACGAATGGTCATGCATAGACGCCCCCACGCGGCCCCTGGTCCCTGGAACACGCGGGGGGACTCTGGCAGATACTATCAGAGGCTCTCCGGCAGAACAGGCTCATTGTAATATTGGCAAAAGCAGAACTAATCAGGAAGGCAAATCTGCCAGGGAAAGCCTTCCAGAACATTCCAAAGCTAAATGGACCGTTTAAAAATAGTCGGCAGAGGAGACAGCCAGGTGCTCACCAAGAGCTCAGAGTTGAACTTTAAAAGTCACACATAATGAGGAAGATTAGACACAGAACCAGCCTGGAAGA